TCTAAGAACTCGGTGAGTTGTGAGTGTGCGGCTCTTTCACAGACTTTAGACATGATTGGTAGTAAAGATATTGGGCGCGTTTTGGATGGATCATCTGAGTCTTCAGATTTTGGACAAGGAATAACTTCGGCTAGTTTCCACGACTGTGGAAAAGTACTTGTATTGTCATCGCTAATCACAACCGCAAATACAGCAGTGGCGCAGCTCAACGGGGTCGGACTGAAAGCATGTGAAGTGCCTTTACGATGTCACTGTTAAGTCTCAATTATCTCTTCACTATCAAACGTTTCTGGAACTGAAAATAAACTGGTTCCTATCCATCATTTTTATCAATATYCTTTGTTTTCAAGATACGTCATCTGGTGGACAAAAACAAAAGACGTCTCATTAGGTCTCTTGTACCTGTCCACCAGCATGGCCGCCATATCTTTGTCTTTTGATCCTCTTGGGAATAGTTGAAAACCACCAATATGCTGGTTTTCACTCAGCTGATAAAAGTCTTTGAAACKCATTCTCTGCTCCAAATGATGGTCAAACACTGACCACCATGTGCTGTCAGCCAGAAAGATTTCTACTGAAAGCTTTTGATTCAGTTGATTCGTTGATGAACATTTCATACGAGACAGGAAATGACGTCATGTGAAACCAAGTAATTTAAAGTTAGTGGTGGCTTTCATTGATTGTGTCTAAGAAGATAAAAGAATATACATCAATATTGGTTTTGTGTGACAAACATTCACTGAAATTCAAAAAAGAAAATTTACTTACCATATCACAGAAAACCCAATATCAAAACTCTCCAAGAGGTAGTAACCAAGCAACGAGGTTACAATGAATCAGGGCATGCTGAAAGTGTGTCTCGTGAGGTAGCAAGATTTGAAAAGGTTACTCGTGAAGGAAATTAATGCTGATTTGTTTATTGCAATTTTGAATTGAATTTGTGTATTGGTAGCCCTGTGTGATGCAGGGTGACCATAAAATGTTCAGTAATTTTCTTTTTATGATATTGAAACTGCATATTTGTATATATTTTTATTGTTTTTATGTACCTAAAAAAACACAAATCAAATAAACCAGGAGCTCAAATATTCAATATAAAAAATGGGAATGAAAACAAAAGTATGAAATAAAAGACTATTTTTTCTCATATTCTGTTAGTCTTTCCTCTAGTAAATTCCTATCTACTCTATGTTTCATTAAGAAAGTTCCATTTAGGTGAAAAACTGGAATATCATATTTGTATTTCATGTACCATTCCTCATTGCCTTTGTCTGTAATGTAAACTTCTTCAAAACGATACTGAAAAATGATAGAATTACGCAAATGATCAATACCGKAAGTATTAATGCATTTGTAAATTCCAAGGATAATGAAATCATTTACTTGTTTAAGAACTTATGATAGTAATTGGTCTCCAAACATGAATTCCAGTTAACAATTTAGGTGAGACTGAAAGATTTATCTATCTCTCTCCCCTCCCCTCTCAGTTTTTCTTGTCTTTCCTCTGAATTTTAATCCCGTGCTATGCATAAAGATAGTTACTTAGAATTTTTTTGATGCCAACAGACATTGAGTTGCAGCTCAATGCAGCTCAATGTAGTTGAGTTGAAAGCATGCAAGCTGCACTATATATACTGCCACATACTTAAGAACCTCCAGAGGAGGACAACATGCAAACATGCATTCGTTCCCATGAGAAAAAAAGGATAAGACATCATTGGCTGCCTGTTGGTTGACATAACGAAAGAAACCAAAACCAGACCTTGTGTTCATGTCAACCAACATGGTGCAAATGCTACAAAAATTATTATCAACAGACCTTTCTCCAAATTGCTTGAGTRACAATAAAACAATGGTTACAATTTGATATCAGACTTGATAAAATAAAGTAAATGCATGAAGCCAAGTGTGTTTCCTGTTGCATGAGAAAAATAATTGGGGTCAGTAGGTTSATTTTTTTTTACTGAAACAACAGCTTACTGGGAACCCTGTGGTGCATTTGGGAATGAAAAAAATATTAGGGTCAGCGAAAAATCGGGAAGAAAATTAGGGTCGGTTGTGCAACAGGAAACACTTTTTTTTGTTTGGCCTGAACACATCAAGTCCAACCTCGGCATAGAGCTATTGTTTCGTGGTCACTAAAGAAAATTTGGAAAGGTATATTGATCCTTGCTTTAGCTCTTATGACATTCATTCATAGAAATTGTATGCATAAAAATATGAATGTAAATGATGTCAGAGAAAGATGTCCTAAAATTTTCAACATTTTAAAATGTTCCTACCCTGTGTTTGTATTCTTCTAAGATGAGCCTTGCATCATCACAAAGTGAGCATTCCTCCTATAGGAAAGGAAAGTGCAATGACATACAGTAAAGTTCACTGAATTAGAACTAATGTATAGAATAAACACATGAATAATAGGCCCTTTGCAGTTAACGGTCACGTGTCTGTACTGGATTGCAAAATTTTTGTTTTTATTTTGAATTGGTGATTCTTTTTAGCCACTTGTAAAGAACTGAATGAAAACATGTGCATCCAGTGTGTTACGAAATGTAGTTTTATTACAATCTCTTGAAACAGGTTGTAGAAAGTTTGTTTGCAATCCAGTAAATTTCACCCATGGGAATCAAAATGTTCATTCATTTGCTCTCAGTGAATTAATCAGCACGTGATTGCTTAGCTGCAAAGGGCCTATTATCGACATCAAAGTGAAGTCACTAAACCCATGAAAATACACTTTAGTAGACCATAATTCCATTGTTTTCTTTCGTGTCTATTTGAATATTACACGTTGACCAGTATTTTATATTTCACGGGTTAATTCCCTTTACTTTATTTAAACGAGGCTAGCACATATTAAACATACACTGACAAACCTATAGTAAATGTTGTTTAATTCCGAAGCATTGAAAAAAGTCGTAGCTAATTTTATGAACTAGTAGTACAAAGCAGAATATCTTAATACAAAAAGAGAGAGTCTAAGAAGCAAGGATAACGACTATGGACTTATAAAGAAACTTTAATAGCTAGTGTGATAAAAAAGTTAGCGAGATAGGACAACATACCAAGACATGCTCTCAGACCTACCTTTGTGTACATGGTCAAAGTCGGTAAAATCCTTGAGCATAACTGACGAGCTCCAAAGACATAACCATTATGACATTTTGCTTCAAGCTTAGTAGCTAGAATACTATTAATAAAGCGTTTAAATAGCACAGAATTGCTCATATTTTTAGCGCGGGAATTTTTGCGCAGCTTTTTCACGACTTTTCGCAGGCGTTCCAAGCATCCTGAAAAGTACTGGCACGAGCTACTTTATATTCATCGCCTCAGGCTTGGTTCTTTCTTTTCGGCTTTTTGAAGGATTCGAAAATGGCGTCTCTTGTTCGTCTTTCCAGAAATGTTTTTCTCCGATCTGCTCTCGGAGTGCGATCAACAGTGGCTCCTATCGCGGGATCACACATTCAGTTCCGTAAATGTAAGCTATGATATTTTTATTTTCTCTCCAATCTTTTTATTTCGAGATTTTTGTCTGGTTGTGTGAAGCACATGGCTTAGTTATTTGCATAGACGTGTTTAAGTTTTCCTGTTATGTTTCAGATTCCACTCCAGGCAAAATAAAAGTTCAAGGGCCTGTTGTGGAGTTGGACGGTGATGAGATGACAAGAATTATCTGGCAGATGATCAAAGATAAAGTATGTACATGTATCAATTAGTAGTTTGTAGAATACTGTGAAAATTGACAAATTAATAGAGGTGTGAGTACACGCAACCCTTTCGAGAAGAAGGCGAAAAGAAAACAAACGAGTCACGCTATCCTATAAGCATCTAACAAGCTGTTCATTCCCTAGTAATTCTGTTTTCTTAGTACCTTGGAATATGGTAGTAAGATGATTCATATATAGCTAGTTATTATTCTTGTTCAATATATTGTTTAGGCTGCATTTTTCGACCCTATATATCTTTGATTGAGGTCCCATTAGGGGGTCTTAGTATCATATATCYTTATATTCTTTTCTTCTGACAGTATCCCTGTGTTTAAACGCGTTCCTTTCAATATCCATTCATTCCTTTTATAATCTCATATCCATGTAATATCTTGGATCAAATAGTATTTACATTATAKCCCTTATATCCCCTATTCTGTTAAGGGACATTCCCTGAATTTATTTAGCCCCATGGCACCCCACAATCCAACTCGTGCTTATAAACCACTCAACATTAGGGTTTCTGATTTTTTTAAACATTTATTCTTGATTTATTTGTTGCATAAATTATTATTCTTAGAKAATATTTCTTTTACTTCTCAGTTGATAACCCCATATCTTGATCTGGACATCAAATACTTTGACCTTGGCCTTGAACACCGAGATGCAACTGAAGACAAGGTGACGGTTGAAGCTGCAGAAGCGATCAGGAAATATAATGTTGGAATCAAATGTGCGACCATCACTCCTGATGAGGCTAGAGTTGAAGGTACATATATGTGCAGTATAATGATGTTGTTGAAAATTTTCTCTTATTTCTTGCCTATCCATCATACATACAAATATTTCGAAGGTAACACACTTGTAACTTTCAGAGTTCAAGCTAAAGAAGATGTGGAAGAGTCCCAACGGCACTATTCGTAACATCCTCGGAGGAACAGTGTTTCGTGAGCCAATCATTTGTAAGACCGTTCCAAAGATTGTCCCAGGATGGACTCAGTCAATTGTGATTGGTCGTCATGCTTTTGGTGACCAGGTTAGTAAAAAAATCCTCAATTGGAAAACATCTCGTTTTTTTTTTCAATCAAGGTTTTGCACCATCACGTGCCCATCCCTTAACACTGCTCAGGATGCCTGTGGCTGGATGCCTAAACAATAAAATCCCTTTGCTCTCAGAAATAATTCAGTTTTGTTATTAATTCCAGTTCTTTCCTACTCTTTGTGCTATTGTAAAATGACTATTTTTCATTTTCATAGTACCGAGCAAGAGACTTTGCCGTCAATGGCCCAGGAAGTTTTGAAATTTCCTTCACCCCTGAAACTGGTGGTAAGCTGACTACCGAAGTGTTTGAGTTCACTGGGACTGGAGGAGTAATGATGGGGATGTACAACACAGATGAGGTGAGTTACTACTCACTCACATACACCATTCTCATAATGTCTGAAAAGGACATGAAAACGAGGTCACCCAGTCATTAGTTCACAATACAAGATATAAAAGTACATTACATTGTAAATGAGTTTATAAGAGAAAAGTATAGAAATTTAACTCTTGTTTTGACCTGTATTGGAGATATCCACCTTTATTCTGAATGAGCAGCCTTGCTCAGCCTTGCAAGATTACTGGGTGACCTCCTTTTTGTGTGCTGGTCAGCCATTATGAGAAGGGTATATAGTACAGGCCAGAATTCAAGGGTGAATCCAGGGGGGGCAAAGGGGGGCTGGAGCCCCCCTTCAGCAGAAAAAAAAAAGAAACTAAACTGAAGAATTAGATGCTTTTTTTATTGTTTTCCATTGTGTTGACAAAAGAAACTCGATTAGCCTAAAATTTTGACTGGATCTGCCCTTGGAATTACAGTGTATGTGCAATTACATACTCAGGTGGACCCAGAAAGGATCGTATCTCACTGTTTCTTTACCTTTGTAACAGTTGAAGTCATCTAAGTTGATGCTGTTTCGGCTCTCTTCTGATCGGCACTGAATTTAACGGAACGCCATTTTTTGGTAACTTTTTAAGACAGTTCCAAGGAGCATCCAAACACTAAATTTTTTGCTGCGAGTGTATAAAAGTAAATCATTGAATTGGTTGGTTTGCAGGCAATCCGTGACTTTGCACACAGCTGCTTCCAGTACGCTCAGACCAAACAAAGGCCACTTTACATGAGCACAAAGAACACCATTTTGAAGAAATATGATGGTCGTTTCAAGGACATTTTCCAGGAAATTTATGAGAGGTAAAAATTCAAGCTCTTCTACAAAACATTATGGTGTTTTTAATTGCTTTTACAATAAAACAGTCATTAGTCTAATAGTAAATTGTTTGGGAAATCCTGCTAACATGTGGGAAAGGAATGGAATACTTCATTGATATGGCAGCCATATTGGATTGCGAGGCATTATGGGGGTCCAGGGGACAAATAAAGCTTTGTTACAGTTATAACATCGATTAATATTAACCACTCACCACAAGAGAATACTAGAGATGAATCAAGACACAGCAATCACTGTTACCTATGGCAGCGAAAAACCAAATTTCAGTGTGCAGCTTGCAGCTACCGAGTTCAAAAGTTTATGAAAATGGCAGTACATGTACCTTTGCTTTCTACATGTACTTTATCCGTATGAAACTTAGATAAGTACTGATAGCTTTGATAAAACCCTTATTTGCACCCCATAGCTGCTTGAAGGGATAGACTCTTTTCTTTCGCTTTAGCATGATTCCTTTGCACTTAACTTGTTGGTTATATTATCATATTCTAGGGAGTATGAGCCTCAATTCAAAACCCTCAATATCTGGTACGAGCATCGTTTAATTGACGACATGGTTGCATATGCCTTGAAATCTGAAGGAGGTTTTGTCTGGGCCGCCAAGAACTATGATGGGGACGTTCAATCAGATACTCTTGCTCAAGGTTTGTGGACTAGCTGCACTGTCCCTAAGGACTGATTTTTCACTAGTTGATGCAAGCATATATAAGGGAAGGACCATTAGATTTGGGGAGGAAGGGTTGGGCAATTTATTTTGTGCAGGAATTTTTTTTACACCTCATAGCTGTGCAGGAATTTTTTTTGGACATAATTTGGATTTTTTTCTGGCACTTTTCTTCTGCCCAATTTTCTTTTTTTTTTTTTCACTCTTCAAAGCTTTGCTTGAATTTTCTTTTGTTTTTTGCCCAACTCTCCCCTCCCCCTCAAAAATCTAATGGTCAGTCCCTAAGCATGACATGTGTTACCACAGAGTGTCTTTCATAGTCTTTCTTTCATGGTTTGTTAACTCTTCATGTTTTGGGTAGGACAAAGTATTGAATCTACATTACAGTACTATGTGCATTTGTATGCTTTATTATTTCAAAATTATTTTAATTTTTGTCTCAAAAAGTAAAAAAAAAACACCTGAGAAATGCTAAGAAATCAAGGGCTTGTCACACGTTCAATCTGACACAGTCTACAGATTGAATTAGAATTTGGTACTTAGATTTTGCATAGGGAGAAAAACCGAGGAACTAGCTTGGATAAAAAAAGCCTCATGTCAAGGAGGAGAACAAACATACTCTACTCACATGTAATACCAAAAGTCGAGAAGTTGAAAGGGTCCTCATAATCATAAGAGAATGCATGTAGAGTAATCTGAAGTACTGAAAGATTTGGACTAACATTATTTGATTGGTTATTTCAGGCTTTGGTTCACTCGGTCTGATGACCAGTGTGCTGGTTTGTCCTGATGGAAAGACTATTGAATCAGAGGCAGCACATGGTACTGTAACGAGACATTATCGGGAACATCAGAAGGTTAGTGTATCTTGGTTCTAAATCAGACAACAATCTCAAGGGTCTTTGCAGTGAAATAGACCCCTTGCATTGAGAATCAGAAACCTAATATCATTGATGTCCTCCATATAGAGCTACATTTGACATGCTGCTAGGGTCCATCAAAGTCATGTTTTTATTTGACATCATTGATAAGAGTCGTCATATTTTCATAGACGTACATTAAAAGATTGAAATAATGTCCATGATAGAAATAGACCTTTTTGTGTTGGGCATAATGTTTTCCCATTCCAGTCCACATGTCATTCTCTTGAGAATAAGATTCTTTGTTTAACTGTTGTACACATGGGCAACTCCAAAAACAATGTTGTATTTTATTCTCAAGAAAAGACAATCACCTGTTTTGAAATGGAAATTGCAGCCAAAGGTAAAGGGGTCCATTTTTGAGCTGGTGTTGCAGGAATCAAAGATGATGATGCCCAGTTGCAATCTACAGTACTTAACTAACATTCAGTCTGTGATAAAATTGACAAAATACATATAGAACATTTTCCATGCCTAAATCAGGTCATTTGTAATGTTTGTGCATCTCTAAGGATTATAACATCTAGAAGCTACTACCAGTATGCAACACTAAACTGTTATTTTCTTTAAACAAATTGTCGTATTGATTGTAGGGGAATGTTACGAGCACCAACCCTATTGCCAGTATCTATGCCTGGACCCAAGGCCTGGCACACAGGGCTAAACTAGATGGCAATAATGAACTTAAAACGTATGTACTTTAAATGAAATAAATAAATAAATGGGAATTAACAGTGGATCCAGTGGCTCTTCTTCACTGAATTCCAATTGGAATTTAGATGTTGATTTTCACAGGAGAAAAAAACAGAGAACCAATAAGCAGCTCTACTCACCTATGATGCCGAGTCCGGGAATTGAACCCAGGTCGCCTTGGCGAAAGGCGAGTGTTGTTACCGCTATGCCAGAAATCTATTGCACAATCCAACAAAGCAAAGTGACAAAACCTATTGTTAAAATGGCTAGCACCTTAAAATGATCACAATGTCTGTAAACATATAGTAATGTCCACCTACTACCAATGCATCTGTAGTCTTTTACCCAAGTTTAATCTTATTTATATTCTTTTCTATCAGGTTCTGTAATGCAGTAGAACAGGCCTGTGTTGACACTGTTGACAGAGGCGAAATGACTAAAGACTTGGCAGCCTGTATTCACGGACTACCAAAGTAAGTGAATCATGTTACAGTACACTGCAGATGTGAACAGAAATATCCCACTTCCGAGATATACTTGGCCAGCTTGAGGCTTTGTGCATAACACAGGGTTCGTGCTGAGGTAACCACTTAAAATTCAAGGACTATTCAAGGAGTATACAAGGACCCAAAAATGAATTTTCAAGGAGTATGTTCAGCTAACTATGCCAAGGTTTTACACGGTGGTTGCACATGGCCGACTTTCAGATTTTCAGATCTTTCTGACTAGATCTATTTCAGAACCATGCAAGTAATGATCAAAGCAAAAATTCAAGGAGTTTCGCTAAAATCRTAAAATTCAAGAGTTTTTCAAGTGCCCTCGAAAACGTGAATTAAATTCAAGGAATTTTCAAGGAGTTTAAGGAGTAGCACGAACCCTGATAACGGCCAGTGATTGGTGACAGGAGAAAAGGATAAATGTAATTTTTGTACTGAAACCTTTGTCTGTGACAACATTTTTTCTCCTTGGAAAGAAATTTGAGTGACAGTAGATTGGAAATGAAAAGGTAATCAAATACTGACCATTTTCATTCTTGATATCTTTTTCAGTGTCAAGAGAGAACATTATCTGTCAACTGAGGAATACTTTGATGCAGTAGTCAAAAGACTACATGAAATATTGAAGCAATGATCCATTATTAGTGATACCAATGTTTGAAAGGAAGAAGTAATATAAGTTATTGATAGACATCTCATAGTTAGTTTTGATTCCAAGTTATTGTATTGAAATTCCAATACAGTCAAACCTAGTACTATGGTTTTGAAGCCACTTTAAACAAATTCGTGAAAGGTCTGTAAATTGAATTTTAGATTTCTTTGGTTCAGTACCCTGAAGAATGTTTTTTTTTTTCCATTTCTTTTTTCTGTAAAGCTAGTGTTGTGCATGTGCGTGTGCGTGTGTGAATATGGACATCAACAGAGTGGCTATTGTCCATCAGTACTAGTAACACCTTTTGTTAAACAAACCATTTACATCATAGTACGAATGGGTATGATACAAATCTCAAAACATTTTTCCCTTCTAATAAAATACATTTGTAGACAAGGTCTTTGCTCTGTGGCTTTTGATTGTGCTATGCATCTATGGGTTTTTTCTCTGTTGAACAGAAGAAACGCTTACCCGAGCTAGACCAGAATGCACCATGCTTGCAGTCTCGAACAAGTAACCTCACATACATACATACATACATACATACATAAACTTTATTTAACCTTGAATTTCAGAGTAGCTTACAAAGCTAATATCTTCGAGAGAAAAAAAGGGGGAAAAAAAAGAAAAAGGCTATTGAATAATGATTATAAAACTATTATATAATGGTAATTAATATTTACATATGTACACTATATACACTATTTTGCAGAATCAGTTCAATTTCAATGTTGATGAGTAGTTACTTGAAAGAGTCATACTTTAGTATATTACAACGGAAGTCCAAAAAGTTTGAGGTTCTAAAAGTATCCGGCAGTGCATTCCATAAAGTAGCAGCTAAATAAGAAAAAGAGTGAAGGCCATATGTAGTTGTTTTAGGTTTAGGGAGAGACAGAATGTAGTTA